TATTGCAATGGTACTTCTTTAGATGCCTCACATAATCGTTTTGTTATGCACAATAAACAATATAATACAAGCCGTACCAGCTTACTGTAACGTACTGCTGTAGTGTGGCTGTTGGTTGAACTGGTGAATGGGAACTTAGGAATTTATACATCATTCATGAGCTATCACACAAAGTAAATAAAATAAATAAGAGAGAACATTTACAACCTAAAAATAAAAATTTATTAACATTAATGTTAGTACAACGTCCTACCTCGGGAAACCGTGTCCCTGGACGCAAAACGAAGATTGATTGATAGAGTGATTGAATTAATGTTAGTAGAATTATTTGTATGCAATTTTTTTAATATGACAAAAATTAAAGCAAATCACATTTAAGTTGATGAAATCACCAAATGAAAAAATGATTATCCCTCCCTACAAATGTTCCAAAACCACAGCAAACATCGAGCCAATTAGACCGTTTTAGATAGGTAGATCATTGCACTGATCTTGCTAAAGTTATTTTTAAATTATATATATTACATAATGTATGTACCAGTTGTGTGTCTTCAATGTTTTATCAATTTATATATAACAGATGTGTTTAATATGTCATATGTAAATACACACACACACACACACACACACACACACATATATATATATATATATATATATATATATATATATATATATATATATATATATACTCAAATAATAACATACATGGAGTAGTCCAGAGATAAATAAATGTGAATCAAAGATGTCGCATGCAACACAAGTTGCTGCATGCTTAGTTTGGAGATTTGTATGGAATGGGTACGTAGACGTTGGCAGCATCAGTGGGCAGTTGTTTCTTCTCATCAACGTTCTGGCAGTTGACGATGAAGAAGAGTTCCTCATCCAGTGGAATCAGGTGCTGGTACTTGTTCTCGCATTCCATGTCCACAACTTCTTTTGACTGGTCGGTACGTTTAAAAATTTAAAGTAGATGTAAATGCTACAGAACGTTTTATATAAAAATGTTACATTACAACAAGGCGCATTGTTTAGAATTTTTAATCATACTAAGCAATCTCTGTCAATGTAAATATGAAATGTTCAATGAATTGTAGAGAACTTCTATAGAAGCAAACACGCCATCCTGCATCACAGCATTACTGGTGACCTCTTATTGAAAAACAGTTAAAAGTGATACAATCAACAAACAGCATTACAGCTCTTTCATATATGAAAAAGTAAATAAAATCTATCTTAAAAGAACTAACAGCACATCTGATGGTCCAAATGCGAATGATGAGGATGATGAGGTAGATGGAGCAGACGGTCATCAGGATGGACCAGGACATGAGCCACATGAACCTTCTGAACTTCTCGTTGTGCAAGAGGTTCTTCAGCCAGACACTGAACTTGCTCCCACTGGTCATTGTTATCTCTGTCTCCACCTTCATGGAATACACCTTCTTCTTGTTCTCACCAGTCATCAATTTGTCTGAAAAGTTTTTGTATGTGAGGAAGTTATGCAACTAGCCAACAAACGACAGCTTGATATAGATTTGTTGATGTTATTAGCAAATGAAGTATTGCAATGATGATGATGGTGATGATGACGACTAGTGATGATCTGACCTTCAAACATTTAATCAGTAAAGTGAATTAACAACGACAGACAAAAATAACTTTAAAACAATGAAATCCTTGAATGTTTTTTTTTTAAATTCACTCAGAATTGTTACCTTTGTTTAGACTATTGAGTTCCTCTTCCTCTTTGACAACGCTCATGAATGGAATGTTCTTAATGATGAGGAACCTGTGGAAGACAGGTCTCTCGAAGCCTGACATCTTATTGCCGGTGGGAGTACCTTCATTCAACTTTTCGATCTTCATCAAATCATTCAAGTCTGCACTCTTCATTCCTTCGTTGACTTTGGCTGATGAATCAAGGGGGGACCTATTCTTGAAGAAATCTCCAATCCATCCATAGTTCATCTGATGGTTCAATCCATCCATCATGCAATCCATCATGTTGTTGATGCGCGAGTGCACGTTCATCATCGTACCCACCATGCTCATCGCGTCATCAACCGAGATGTCCTTATTGGGAGATTCACCCAGAGCCTTCTTGCTGCTCTCAACCTTTGCTACCTCGACCTTATTGGAGGAACTTATCTTACAATTCAGTTCACATAATGCAGCGCCCTCAGGATTCTTCTCCAAGCAGGCTGGATGTAAGTTCATCAAACCATTATATTTCAAATAAACTGCTATGTTAGTTACCAATGCATTACATAAGATAACACACTAAATAATTCTTATGTGTAAATAAATAAGCAAGTTGAACAAACACATTACATCAACCAAAAATAAATAAATGAATCGTTTGTGAGCAAACGAGTGAGTTACTTTTCAAGCATTCGTCAGTCATAGGCTCCTTCTTGCCAGGGCACCAGATGCCACACATGTCTGCCTCTGCCTGCATATCATCAACATAATGTATTTTAATTTAGTTTAAATATATCAGAATTACAAATAAATATATCTACAATAATGAAAACGCTGTTTCATTAGTTAATTAATTAATGTATGCATGGAGCCTTTTTAGCAAACTTCAACCTCATAATAATATAATAAATACGCAGCAAGTTGGTGTGTGGAACTTGTGAAATATGTTTTTTGGAGTGTCAATAACTTGCTCATGATCCCATGAAACGGAGGCACCTTGCGAACATGACAACATCCCGTTACGGGGCACGCCGATAATCATAATAAATAATGTCAATAGCTTATTACAGAAGTTAAACTTGAGGAAGAATCTAATGCCCACGACTCTGAATCAAACAGCACTAACAAAATGCTGCTAAGTATATTTTATGTTTCAAATGAGGTGTTAATGAAAAACAAGAATAATGAGATTCATTCAAAATCAAAATGGTTTTTCAAGATTCCACAAAAAACCCATTAAAAACTGTTTAATTTTAAACTCTTTTTTTTTTAATTTATTTTTGGATAATATTTCAACACAGATGTTAATTTTTGACACTCTTGTCATAATGACAGCAAAAATAGTGAAAATTCTTCTCATTTTCACCTTGTAGTAATTATAAAAAATGGTAAAAATGGGAAGTCGAAGGATAGTTGGACAAAACTTGAGAAAAATTGAAGCACTTGCACATTATGACAATACTTATATTGTTAAGTTAGTCTAAAGATTAAAGGTCAATTACACTCTTGCAAAGTTCAGAGGATTCAACAAGTCACTGTGATTGTCATATCTTCCCTGCCATTTTTGGTCATTCAATTCAGTTATTATTTGGAGAATGATGAACTATCTACCTCACAATCATATCAATTGGGTATAATGAAATGCCCTACAAAACCATATGATTTGTGTACAGTGGAATGTTCCAACATTCATACATGTCTGCATTCAAAATATTCATATGAGAAACAAACATAAATTTACTACACGTAAAAAACATTGTTGTACTCCATTTGTTTTGATAGTGTTTCAAAATTTGGAATGTTCCAACATTCATACATGCCTGCATTCAAAATATTCCTATGATAAACAAACATAAATTTACTACACGTAAAAAACATTGTTGTATTCCATTTGTTTTGGTAGTGTTTCAAGATTTTTTTAGTAGTAAAAATACAGTATGAAAATTTTATTCACAGACACTAAAATTATATTGTAAATTCGTGGCAGTTTAATGACTCGCTGAGTTTATAAGAACCAGCTTAATGACTCACTAAGTTCATAAGAACCATTCAAAATATTTAATTAGTGTGAGTGTCAAAGTTAACAAGAAAGATATGAAAAACATTATTACAAATTAAATTAACAATAAAATAGATAAATTATTAATTACACTTATGGCTTATAAGCCACTAACAACAATATCAGCAGTCAGCAGTTTGGCATTCAAAATTTGTATGGATTACTACTCTTCATTTAAATAAATTAAAAATAAACTAGCAAATATCACCTGCCAGTTCTGTCAGATCATTAACTATATTTTAATAACATATTTACACTTTTAACATTCTTTTTTTTTTATCTTGACAACCCTTATTTATATGATAATCATAATATTATAAATTTGAACCAAATGTAACATCATATGAGCTTTAAACAAACTTCCCATATTTTGGCGATAAAAACTTATAGACTGTACAATTAAATATGTATCAAAAAGACATCTAAATTCTAAACACTAAGTTAAATTTAATTAAGCTATGCATGCACACCACACACATACAAAAAATTATACCATATAATAAAAAAACTCTATCCATTTATGATTTATCTATGTCTAATCCTATCTATAATCATAATAATGTTATTGTTAATTAATCTAGATTCTAGTGCTTATCATCTAATAAAACTAAATCTAGTTTAATTGTTAACATTCAATTTTAATTTTAAGATTCACGTTAAAAAAAAATCTTAAATTAAACTAAAATTCTTCATTATTTTAATTTAATATAAGAAAAAAAATTCCATAAAAATTAAAACGCAGATAAAAAAATATGGTAGATTTTTAAAATTTAAAAAAGATATCTTTTGAGAAATTAAAAAATATAGTTTGTAAATTTTTAACTCAGTTAACTGTTAATGTATAAGTTTTGATTGAAGTTAAGTTGCTTTTCTTACGGTGGACGTAAAATCATATGATTTTCTTTCAATTTTTAAATAATTAAAAATTAAAAAAATATAAGATAAAAAAAATTCAAATGAACTGTAGCAGAAAAAATGAACTAAAACCTTCGATAACTTTCTGGAACCTTTACAAAACTCTGGACAGCCATTTTCTTCGGCACTACAGCCAACAAAAACGAGAACGAACGCGAAAACAGCGAAGAAGAGATGTTTGAGAAAAAACTTTAAGTCCGCCATTTTTAATTTCGGTTGATAATAAATTATGCTAATCGATATTTTTACCTTTCTTATAAACAGGGATGTTCCGTGTAGATTTTCCTCTTTATATAGCAAGCTGTAAAGTAATGAGTGTCATGTGCTAAACGAAAAAGCAAAAATGTATTGAAATGTTAACATTTTATTTATATGTATGGAAAGAATATACTGCTAGTCTTGATTTAATATGGCGTTATATTTTTGAATAGACATTCGGCTTATTTAGGTACTTGAAATAAATTTTTTTTAATTTATATTGTACCGACTGAAAAACAAGTTTAACATTATTGTGTTAATGGACATGGTTGTACTCTTCAAAGTTTTAAATATTGAAATACAGGTGATTTAAAATTCGACCTAAGTCTTACAGAGGTCTAGAGGTTTTGTAAACTCTTTCAAAGTCCAGGGAATTAACAGACAGTGAGACAGTGTACCTCTAAAGGAAAACTTAAACGACGCATCAATCCCAAAGCATGTGATCGGCGAGAATCTTTTTGTCACTGCACGCACTGTTAAACAGGACCAGGCGTCTGTCTTTAATCACTAGACCATCAGGCCATCCAAACGTTGATCTGGATGCGTTTGCGTCACTAAATTGTATGTTTCAGTTTCATTGCTCGCCGATCATTGTAGGAGTTCTCTGCATCAATCGTAATGTAATGGATATGTAACCCGGTTACCATTCATGCTTCTAAAAAAAGTCAACAAATGGCTAATATCAGTTTAAAAATATAACATGGCAACCTCAATACATTTTAACCTTAATTTGGATATTCAGGGCTAAGATGTTTGCTTGAGTGAACGAGAGTATGAGCTGGGAAGCTATAAAACAAAATATAATTATTATAACACAAAAGTTGCTATTCATTTCTTGGTTTAAAAATAACCCGGTTTCAGGATAGACGAAATAGTTAACATTTCTTCATTATCATTTCATTAAATAAAAAACCGTTGGAAAAGTTATCTAATTAAAACTAAGTTATCAATATAATCATGGATATAAATATATCCTACATACGAGATCTGCCATATCCATTGTATATATCCACCATGGTTATAATGCATTAGGTTATGTTATATTTATAAAGCGGTATTAAAGTTCAACTGCGCGCCTAACATAGGTACCTAAAGTACATAAATATTTGTAGTAACATTTTTGCCAAATATTAAGTACTAAGTACTGAACTGTGAGTAACTAATTCCAAAATCTTCTTTAAATCTTTTCAATCTCTAATCTTTTTTAATACATACTCTGGTTTAAAATTTCATGTTGAAGAACGAATGAAATCTAAAATCACAGCTTCTGTCTGGTACACTCATATGTTATAGCACAATTTGGTTTTTGTGTTCCAGTCACTAAAATTGCTTTGATTGTTTCATCTTTTCTTTTATAACATGTTTAAATTATCTCTTTCTCTCTCTCTTTCTCTCTCTCTCTCTCTCTCTCTCTCTCTCTCTCTCTCTCTCTCTCTCATGTAATGTAAATAAAGCCGTCGACTCCCTCATGTAAATAAAGTCGTAGATTGATTTTTGTCAGTCTGCACATAGGTAATTATCTTTACTCATCAAGATACTGACTCAACATTAATTATTTTCAAGTGATCAATGATTTCGGATACTGCACAATTTATTTTACATTACTGATGCGATAAAAACTTCGTCGTCTTCTTGTTTTGTTTGCTGATATTTTACAATCATTTGACGAACGTGAACCAACGACAACTTTTGATGATGCAGTATTTTCTTATTATTTGATCATTAGAGTTTTTACAGATTTTTCGACGTTTAGAAAAAATTTAAAAAATCTCCGAAACATTTGCTAAATATTCTTACACTCACGTCGGTCCATGGTTTGTTACGCAACGTTTTTACTTAAAGTGACGCCACCATTACAATTCTAATCTCATCAATGTATTCAGTTGAAGTTCGCCTAACTAAATTTTAATTCGTTTTAATGACATGTCTTTGTACGTTTTTAATGTGTTATTGTGATGAAACAAAACGAACTTTTGAAGGGTTGATCGAGACAAATAAAAATCAAGATGTCGTAAAATACGTTGCAGTTTTTAAATGTCAAAGAATTTTCAAAAATTTTCCTACTACATATTTATAAAAAGCGACAGAAACCGTCCAATGTTTTAATTTCAATGTTTCCAATGGCAATGATGTTGTTGGACTGGATGTGAGACAGGAAATGTTTATAATAACGAATATGATGACGAAGCATTGTTGATGATGATGGTGATGGTGATGGTGATGATGATGATGATGATGATGATGATGATGATGATGATGATGATGATGATGATGATGATGATGCTAACAACAGCTACGATAATGCCTCAAAATAGTTTCTCGATAGCTGGGTCATCTCTATTAAAACATTTAGTCCGTTAATGAAAATAAGCAAGCATGTCATTCAGTTCAGTGTCAGATGCAGAGGAACTTTGTTCAAGTGATTATCTTTCCAAATTCTGCTCGTTGTGCTTCTGCACTGCCTCCACCAACCTTAACAAGTTGACCGATTTTCAAGCCCTCCAAAATCTGAAGGGCCACTATGGAGTGGCCTACATCTTTGAAGAGCATCGTCACCTCCTTGCCTTAGAATTTCAAACATATTCGAATATATATTCATCTAATTTTATTAATAAATTATCTATAATTTCAACAAAATAACATTAGAAAGTTCTTTAACCATTCAACCCTATTATAAACATAACCATTTTAAAGTAATTCATCACAAATGAAAGTTTATTAGAACCAATCTAGCTTATCAATCATCAACTTACCGGCATTTTCATATAAAATTTCTTCGCCTCCAGGATGCTTATTGTGAAATAATAATTTTGAAGGAAATAATTTCACAATTTGTAAATGAAAATAAACTAATGCATATAAATAAATATGAATAATAAATTTTAAATGAATAAGTACAAATTTTAATTAATTTCTAAGAGCAAACTTTTTTGCAAAAGTCCGTAACATCATAAACATATCCTCCAATTGCAACCCAGAGAGATTTCGTAGGATCATTATGTCTCAAAAGTTGATCAGGATATATTTCTTTCCACTCTATGCATTCCTTACGATCGATTTCAATGTTCATTTCTCAGCAGATACAAATACAATAGCTACCGTGTTTGTTTCAGTTCACAACAATTGAGATTGATTAGTTCAGTTTAAATATAAGCAACAAATCACCAAATGTACTGAAGGAAGAGGGCGATGACTCATAAGAGCTGAGCAATATTGTGGACCTGTGTCAGGACTTTGATACGGAGGTAGCGAACGAATTCGTGACACTTTTAAGTGCTGTTGAAAATCAATTAAACTCACAAACAGATTATAACTGAAGTGTGCAATGTCTACATGTGCAAAATTGAATGTTGTTGAAGTTTATTACGAAAACAGAACAATTAAATTTTCTATTGGTGTTGGTAATAAAATAAAATTCACTTGTCGTTGCAAATACACTTTTATATTTATAATATTACCCATGATAAACGCGTGTAACAATTAAACTCTAGTTTGAAATGCTTGAAACCATAACACAGCAGTACGAATAACAAATTAGAGCAACAATATTTTTATTAATTCTATTTTCAAGTGCCTCTGAACAATATCCTTTGCAGGCAGGCTGACATGCTGGTGTGTCCGTGTATTGGTTGAGTTTGTAAGTTTGTACTTTTGTAGTCTGAAACGAAACCTTTACAAATTCATAGCAGCTGTCTAAATATCATTATTTGCCTGATTAAAAACAACAATGGCAATAATAATAGTAATGATATTAATTATTGTTGTTATTTTAACTCATCATTTTACACTGCAAACTTGCCTCATGTAAGCAGCTATGCAAGTGCAGTTTATTTATATGTACAATACATAAAACATATATAAAATTTATGTATGCTTACATACGATTTTATGCAACATGAAATAAAACGATGACGAACGAAAATTGAATTTTAAACTTTGTCCGGCGTCACGCCTATATGCTAAAATTTGACATTTCAAGTTCAAACTTTCGCACGTAAAATGTAATTCTTCTGAAACTGTTTATAAATAAATTATTAATTGTAAATATATATATAGCGTTGTGTCAGACAAATACATTTTCAGCGTAATGAATTGCGTAATTTCAGTTGGTGCCATTGAAATTTTTTAAAACAGCGTAATGTAAGGCGCTATACAATTTATTTTGCAATAGCAAAGACAAAGTATTTGACGCTGCTGCGATAATTTAGCCATTTTGACTTTCTCTCGTTTATAAATAATTTTTACAAGGTAGTCGGTTTTCTGGTTGTTCTGCTTTTACTTTTTTGTAATATCACGAAGTAAATAATTTTTTGCTACCCAAATTAATTTTTATTTGCTAGATAGTTGGTTATTTCGGTGACAGATTTTCAAAAAGCAGAATCTGTATTCGCTGTTTTTGTTTTATGTTTAGTTTAAGATTGCATCCCGCACAATTTGTTTTTATTTCGGTCGAACTATAGATGTTGAAACGAATTGATTTTTAGATAACGTTTCTCAGTTAGGCAGCCCATCACTTAATTTAGTAAACAAAACTTCGGTGAATTAAAATTTGAAAAAAGTTTGTGGTTCACCTTAGCACTTAGCTTAGCTTAGCTTGGCCATAGCCTGCTTGACTTTACTAATTTCCTGTTCGTTGGTAATTTTAAAATTTTGAATATATAATTGGTAGTCAGTTAGGTAGCAAGAATTGAGCACGCATGGATCCCAAACCTGAGAGCTCCCAGCCCATTCCCAGGCAGATCACCATTGAAATCCTTAGTGATGATATGATGACGTCCACTTCTCCTGTCAAATTGATTTCCCTGCCTACTAATAGTGCAGCTTCAAAAGTTGTGGACTTCAGGCAGATCACCATGGTCTCCAATGTGCTGCCAGTATGTTGTCGAGTACTTTTGAACATTTGCATTAATTATTAATTTAATATTAAATTTAATTGAAGTTTTTTATTTGTTTTTTTTAATATAATATTTTCATATATATATATTATATTTGTTTGTCAGTTTTTAATTTTTATGTTTCTTGATTTATATCTTTAAATCTTGTTATAATATAAAATATACATACATGATTTTGATTAATAAAGTTAAATTCATAAGATTGATCAATTAGTCAGGTGATGATACTAAACCCAAAGATAAAATTCACCAATTGACTAAACCTGGAGGTGTAATCAAAGCTAAAACCCAGATGTCTAAAGTCATAACTAAGGAAATGATAGCTAATGCTAAAGAGGTTTTCACTATTAAAAAAGAAGGTAGCATATTTTTTTATTATTGCCATTGTGGTCTACTATCTTCTCATTTATCAATTAATTTATTTTTATATAGACCTGCTTCCTGCGAAGGATTTGCCGCAGAAAACATATGCAAAAGAATTATCAAAAGTAACAACTTTACGACCAATTTTGCCCAAAACAGCTGCTTCAGCAAAGTTATTTGATGCTAATGAAGATAGTGTTCCACTTCGTATCAAACAAGTTTCAAGAGTTGGAAGTTCAGGGATTAGTGAAAAAGTCAATGTCATAGAGGTTTTACCCAAGGCTCAAACCTTTTTACCAAGCTATAAAAAGGTTAAATTCTACACCTGGCACTGTTTTCTATTCAATATTTTAATCCATTAAGCATTTTGATCTTAATGTTCATGTAGTGATGTCAATTGTTTGGTCTGATCAGGTCACAGCATCTTCTTCCACGCAAGCAGTCAGTAGTCCATCAATTCGTGGACGACGCAAACCATCCCGTAAACCTTATTACGCTTACGTTACTGAATCAGAATCTGATGGGGAGGAGATGAGTACAAGTGGTGGAAGGTTGAAGAAGTACAGCAAGAGTAAAGGTAAGAAATCATCTGATGCCGAGATTGTCGATGAGAAGGAGGTACGAAGTGCCAGAAGATCAAAAAGGGAAAGTTTGTCACAGAAGTTGGCTGAATGGGGTCTTTTGCCAAGTTAGTTTTTGGTGACCAGATGGCTTTACTCTGGTTGTTTGTTGATGCTAAAATAATTTTTCCTTTGTTAAAACCGTGTTTATGTTAGTATGAAATCCTTCAATCTTACAATATAAACTTTTTCAATTTTTATATTTTGTTTATGTATAACATTTTTATCTGTTTTGAAGAACTGAACCATGAGGTGAATCGATTTTTTATATGACATCATAGGGGGGCAAGGAGAGGAAGAGGATGATGCAGAGGAGATCGCCGTTGGTCCGCAAACATCGATGTCTATTAAACCTGCAACTTCCAAACAGCCTCGTGGCATGCCAGCTTCTGCCAGCAAATCAGCTACAAAAAAACCTCTCATGAACGAAGAAGATGACGATGAAGATGACGACGATGAACCTGAAGTGCCTGGTCCTCCTCCGAAGTTTATCAAGGTATCTTCATCGAATGTTGGATTGAAGCCCTCTCCAGCAACAGGGGTGACCACGACCATTAAGAACCCACTAATAATCATCAAGCCTGATGAAACGGTAGGACCTTCCACCATGAAATCAATCACATTATCACCCGCTCTGTCTTCAGTTGAAACTACCAGCACTGTTACATCTTCCGAGGCAAAAAGTTCTGCAACAACTCCAATTCCCACAACCATCTCTGATGTTCTCTCCTCTGAAATTAGCATAAAAAATCAAGATAATGGAAATTTGGAGGGTAAAAAAGATGAAATAGACACATCAAAAGATGTCGAAGCAGAAAAAGATGAGGAGGACATTTCTAAGGACATCCGAACAATTATGGATCTGGATGATTTGTTGAGTGGACTGCAGGAAAGTAAGCCAACAACACCATCAACAGCAATTGCAACAGCGATCACAACCAAGTCAATCACAACATCCAATGCTACCAGGACTACAACCCACACACCAACAGTCAACATAAAAAGTGCAAACGTCAAGAGTTTGACAGCTTCTGCACAGGTGTGTTCATTTGTTGTTCTATTGAAAGCGTTATTCTATTGACAAATAATTGTGTACAATTTGTGCACAAACAATAAATGCACTTGATTTATATTGCATATATGCTTCAAACCCAAAATGGCTACATCACCATTGAAATTGTTGATAAAAATATTCAGTATTTTCACTTTTAATATTCTGTATGAAAATTGCATATATTGCATATATGCTTCAAACCCAAAATGGCTACATCACCATTGAAATTGTTGATAAAAATATTCAGTATTTTCACTTTTAATATTCTGTATGAAAATTAATTGAAACAATTTGAGAATCTATAAAAAAGTTGAAAATAATTTCAAACTAAAATTGATTTGCATAGTTTAAAAGTTAATTTAATTGTTCAATATTTTTACATGAATTTTGCTGAGCAGCAAGTTCGACCAAAGCCTGTATCATCAGCAACTCCATCATCGTTGATGAAATCTGTAGCAACATCAACAGCTTCGTCTGCAACAGTGAAGCCATCACCAGCCATGACACCAACTTCAACAAAAGCTGCAACAAACAGTTTGTGGATCAAGAAGGCAAGCTCCATGCTGGCTCCTTCCATGCACAACAAACCTGGAGTGACCCCTGTTAAAGTATGTTTCTCTGTAGCATTTGTTTTCAATTAGATGTTCTTGTTATGTTCCAATAAACATTTCTTTGGCATGTGATTACAAAAATTACGGCGAGTAACATTGGCTGGAACTGTTGTTCAGTTGGTTCTGAATTTCATCTTGTAAATTGCTAAGTTTGTTATTTATTTTTTATAGCTCATTATTTATTATAAAATAGTATAATTGTTTAGTATGGACACGTGGAATGTATTGCTAAATAGATATATATTAAAATTTCTATTTGTAGAAAGTTGATACCATGAACAAATCTCTGATGTGTAAACCAATCATGTTGACGAAAGCAACTGCATGCAATCCTATGAGAATCCACAAGTCCACTCAGACTGGTTAGTTATATTCATTTGATATTAATAAGGAGTGAACTATGTTTTTATGTGATAATTTGGTTGTTGTATTGGTGTCAAAGTTTCTAGGTTAGGTTTTCTTGTAAGTTACATTGCTCTGATTTGTTATTATGTCTGGCTGAACTTGAACATACATAGATGAAGAAGTGATAGAACACAAGAAGACGACCATTGTCCCCATACCTGTGCCCGTCCTGATTCCAGCACCCATCACTCCCTGCGTCATACCATCTCCATACCCGATACCCACTCCCGTGCCAGTACCTGTGCCCTGTATGATACCTGCCACCAGGGAGAATGTGCAACTCTTAATGAGGGGCTTGCAGGTAGTGATGTTCATTCTGACGATGATGGTTGTTGTGATGGTCATTTTATAGTCACGGGCAGTTGTTTGTATTTATTTTATAGCCACTGGCAACAATGCAGTCACTTCAGTGCAGCACAAAAGTTACACTGTTTCATGTGAGGCTTACATCTACGTACATGATTAATGGCATAATTGCTGATAATAACACATTTACATTGTTTGGCCTAATGACAGGATCTCTACAACAAGTCAATAACAAATCCTTTGGAAGCCGAACTCTTGGACATGGCTGAAGTCATCAGTAGCACCAAATCTGAGGAGGATATTCAGAATGAAGCGTATAATGGTATGTTCAGCTCTGGATGGATGGTTTGATTGGTTGGTGGCTGGATGGATAAGTCATTGGTTCTGATTTCTGACTAACAAATGAAATAATTGATTGATGACATTTATCATTAATCCAATCTGAAATAATTTAATAATTGATAATGCAGCGACCATTGTAAGAGGAGTGAACGATCAGAACTACATCTACCCAGGCACAGCTCCATCCACTTACAAGTACCGCAATGGGGGGGAGGATGTTCTTGAGATGGCCATGAGGGTTGTGGCTGACATGCCCGAAGATCAGACCGGAGCCACAAACATTAGCAAGGCCAGGGTACCGGGATATTTGGGTTTGTATTTTGCGTTCTTTCATGTTTATGTGCTCCTCCTCTGTATGCTGATTGATTGCTTTATAGGCAGGCCTCAATTGTTTTTGTACAATATGCTAATAAGTATGCAATTATTCTTTCGTTTCACAATGTTAACTAAATGAGTTACTAAAGTAAATTTTAACATTAAAATCGTCTTCAGAATCTTCTCGATCAGAAATGGCCATGATGTCAAGCTTTTCCAATAGAGGAGGTCCAACGAAACGAGCCAACATTTACAACAGCAGCCAACAGTTACCACTGCCATTTAATGAATCAAAAGTGAAATTGAAATATTCATATGCATTGAAGGCCTGGAGATCGTGGGCTGAGCAGAAGAATCATGACAATTCGAAGACAGCAGGTGCAAGCAGAGGTCGTGTGAGGTTTTTCTTCGATCCAGATCCTCTCAAGTTGAGCTACGAGGAATTAAATGCTGCTCTGTCGATGTTCGTGCGGGATGTCAGAAAACCCACTGGTGAAAAATATGCTCCTGACAGTATCTACTACATGTGCTTAGGTTTGTCTACTTGTCTTCGTTATATTCATATAAGCTGGGGCATAAATAATGATCAAAATTTAATTTCTTCCCATTTGATTGACAAATGTATTCGTTGAAAATACATTTTAATTCATATTTGATCCCTGCCACCATCAGGTCTGCAGTATTACCTTCGAGAGAATGGTCGTCAGGACAACATCTTCTTCGACGTTCCATACCAGAAGTTTACTGATGTGCTTAATGAGCTTATGTCTGCTTTTGAATTGAGACTAAATACTGAAAGTTTGTTGTCTGTTTTTTATAACCTTTATAACAGCATTTGTTTAGCAAGTGTCTTGCAGCAATATAAAGTTGTTATCAGATCTTTAGCAAAGGTTCAAATCTTCAATCATTCAGTGTTCTCACTACTGACACTGCCATTTAAAACATTTCAGATATGTTGATATGTAGGGTGATAGAGGATCATCTGTGGGAGTCGAAACAGCTCGGCTGCCACACGCCTCAGACCCTCTTGAACACTCTCATCTACTTCAACACTAAACATTTCCTCCTCGACTCGGTGGATGCGCATATGAATCTCTCGTTCGCTGCAATTGAGAGGGGATCAGATAAAACCACTGATGGACAGATTGTGAAGAAGATTACTCTCAAACAAGCTGTCTCATTCAGAGGTTTGCAGTCTAGTATATTGTATTTTGTAGCTTTCCATCATTATTTGTTATCAGATTTTTATCAAAATTTTACTTTTTCATTCGAAAATTTAATTTTAATATACCGAGTTAAATCATTTTTTGCCTGTGCAGAGTTGAAGACGCTACCTGAACAGGAGTACACCCAACATGAACTTCCTGATGACCCAGCGAGGTGTCCCGTCAAACTTTTTGATTTCTATCTGTCTAGATGGTTGGTATCTTTTCGTTTGTTTATAAATTAGTTTATTTACTTATTGGTACTCTGATTTTCGAGTGCAAAATATATTCATCATTTCATTTTGTTCGCTGCTTTGTTTGTAAATTCATCCATGTTTTTAGACTTTTTATCGGCCATTTTAATAGTCTCAACAAAATGTTATGTGTTTTCTGCTTACTTTTATTTACTCACGCTTAAAAATGGCTATGTCTCTACTTTTAAATTTTCAATAACTAGGTTCTTCACACACCTACTCTTATTCAGCGTAAACTGTTGACAATTTCACAAATTTTCAAATGAAAGCAGCATTTGAATTCATATTATAATATTCTAATAATAACTGGCGACTCACCCGCAAACAGCCCAGAAGTGATTCGCCAACACAGCCGATTGTTCTACTTGACTCCAGAGTTGTCCTCACGACCCGAGAACCCAATCTGGTTCTCCACCATGGCACTGAGTCGTGGGGCCCTCAACAAAATGATCAACAGGGTCAAGGTGGTCAGAGAGATTCAGGTGGCCAGGTTGGAGCATATGCAGTTTGAAGCCTAACCAACAAGATGCTCCCTACTTCTATCACTCTTTGTTTATGTTCATTTTGTTTTACAATTGGATCAATGAATGCATTTTGTATAATGTCCAATGTTTTTGCACAGGTTTCCTCTGTATAACAATGTCAACTTTTATTTTCTTTTATAATTGAAGATTTTTGTTAAAAATATTTCCATTCATTTTATTTTTTGTTTTATGCGTTAACCTAATAAAACATTATATATATATATATATATATATATATATATATATATATATATATATATATATATATATATATATATATGGCCGTAGATAATATAATATACAAAATACATATTATATGTATATGTATACATTTGTCTGTATATATACGATGGACTATATTAATAAAAGTCAAGTTGTTGTTACTTTGAAGTCTTATTTAGAAGCAGTTGTAGTAAAATAACTGAGTAGTGTTTTATTTGTTATTTCTTAAATGGGCTATTGCAGTGCTTTTCAAACTTGTTCCTAGAACCGGCGACAAATTTAACTGGAACGTCGCGGGCTGCCACCCAGCTTGCAATATATATATATAGGTGTATATATAGAGGGTTTTTATTGCTTCATCCAACCTATGAATTTTCTCATTAACTTTCAAAATATTTGGAACCTCGCCGCGGACAGGCATAGCTATTACATATAAGGGGTAGATAGCGTATTAAGTATATGTTCCATAAGCTACCGGAATCCATCAATGATTCACTCACTGCCTGTTGGGCAAAACATCATTGTCGAAATGAGGATTGTATGGAGCGAATCAAAACAGCGATTTTCCAGTATCATCTAATTCGATTTTATTTAAAACATTGTGCTTGTATGGTTTTGTTAGAGTTAGAGGATATCGCCGATCGGCAAAATTATAAACGCAAGTTGTTTTCATAAAAATTCTAAAAAAAAAGTAGTTAAATTGAAAATATAAAATAATACGAGTATATTGATTTTCTAAAGATATGCCCCCATAGATTTCGATACATACATGTAGGCAGTGTGGCAAATCGTGAAAATGCGTAGTTCAATGCTTAATGTAATGATTAATAAATATTCTCAATTTATCGCCTTATTAATTTAAAAAATTGATTAAAACATGTCTCAATTATCGAACATAGACTCAAATTTTTAAAAATGATACAGTATATATTAAAAAGCATAGATGGAACGACATGAACTTCATTTTTACTTGTGAAAAGAGAAACCGATATCCTTGGTTAATTTATTAAGACAGATATTTATAAATAAATTATCTTTACCTGCCAAAAATTAATTTTTTCTTTCCAAATTAGTTCAAGTAAAAAAAGAAATGATCGTTTACCTACCTTTTCTGGTTATAACTTGCTTGTTGTTGCCAAAAATCGGTCGAGTATTATGGTTATAACTTGGCGAGATGTTTTGACCGGTCTATAAGAAACAAAGATACTAAGAGCACCCTATCTACATGGTGCAGGAAAAATTGTGCTATGTCCCATATAGCATGTAACATATATGGAGTGTTTACATTGAATATTACCAATGTAGGCATATGGTTAGTGTATGATGACCCGCCATTCTGAAGCTCATTACTTCTGAAGTACAGCGCTGAACTGTTTCAAAAGTTTTTAATCTATACCGGGATTTTTATCGTTCAATACTAAAACGAAAGACAACACTAATAAATGTATTTTTTAAAAACACGAGCGCATGAAATGTTAACAAAAACGTTTTTGTATGTAGATCAAATAAAAAGAACTAATAAAATAATTTAACAGGAAGTTACATAAATAAGGTGACGACATGACGGCTCATAAAACGACATTCACCAGGCTGTTAATTGAATTCTAATCGTAACGCAAATTCTGAAAACTTGATGAGGCGAACGTGAAAGTAGTTGTGGAACATTCCACGGATGAAAAACATATTTAAATGAACTTTAACAATATAAGTAGGACTAAAACGTCAATATGTAGCTAAATAAAAGTAAATTTGCGTCAACAAAGGAATGTTACAGTAAACAAATATTAAAAGATCATTAATTAAATAATTTATATACGGACTAATGTTAACAAACTAATTAATTACACAGTAGATTAATGATCGAGCACTTCAATGGACACCAAAAAAATGTTCTTCAATCGATCGCAATCAATCGATCAATCGATCGCAATCAATCGATCAATCGATCAATCGATCAATCAATCAATCAATCAATCAATCAATCAATCAATCAATCAATCAATCAATCAATCAATCAATCAATCGATCGATCAATCAGTCAATACGCAACTATTAAAAATAGGTGATGATGTTGTTTAAGAAGACACTTGTGGTGAACGAGATAAAATCAGATGTGCTTTGTTTGTTAGGTGGGGTGGGTCGAAAAATTTATATTTAAAATTTTGATCACGTTTTATATAAAATAGAAAATATCTTTATTAAAAGAATTGAATTAATAATCTGCCATTCATTGGTCACGACGCTACAGTGTCTGTGTTCTCCTGGAAGTTTATGTAGACGGCATCCATCACTTCAGCCAGTTGGTCGTTCGTCTTCTCGTCGTCATCATCTTTCTCCAACAAACCTGTCCCAATTGGCAGATTAAAGTTGCTTAGGCCCGACAATCAACAACTCAGTATTTAATTTTAATGTCTGATAACTTTGCAACTATTTTAAATGAAAAAATAAATAAAAGCTTGTCCAAATTTAAATAAAATTCAATAAATAGTATTTAAAATATTTCCTTTAACCTCGTTCTTTTTTCCTCAAGTAGGCTTGGATCATGTCCTTTACGACGAGATAGATGTAAATGTATTGTTTCTGAAATCATTAACGGTAAAATAATTTTATTGCGGCATAACTTTTAAATAAAAAAAAGACTAAAATTTCTGAGTAAAAATTAAATCAATGACGGAAAAATTCTGAATTTTAAAATTAAAGGTGCAGTAAAAAGTTTGGAGAATATTAAGCGACCTCGTTTTGAACCATGAAGGCTCTGTTGAGTCTCATCTTGTAGACGGCCCCGTAAATATCAACCATCTCTTCTTCTTCCAGCTGGTACAATGCCGTGTCCAACCCTATGAACGTGCCTGTTCGGCCCACGCCAGCACTGGTTAATTAGTCATTTATATTAACTCTTTTAATAGTAATCTAGTCATAATTTTCTTTCCATAACATCAAAACAAGAAATTACGGGAAAAATTAAATGAAATAAAATAATAAGATGTAGCAACCGAAGAGCGAATAGTTTAACGAATGCGTTGAAATTGACAACACGTTTCCAAATGCGAATGACGTAAGACCAGAAAAACTCGGTGACATGACGGTATTGTCTCTAATGGCCAATGTGTGGTGAGCAGTTTTCACGCGTATTCACATACGCTGTACTGAGTGTGTCAATGTGAGTGTGCGTGTAGTTCATAAGTCTGAAGCAAATGCAGCAAGAAAGAACGAACTTAAACTCAGAGCGGTTAGGATTCGACCGCACGAAGGCGATTGTAGTCGTCGTTATGTCGTGTCGTTGCGAGGCAAAATTGAAAGCGCGGAAATTCCAAACTCCGCGATCATTCCACTCAAGTTTTTAAAATTTTAAAATTTACCGTTAATTTTTTTTGGTCAAATCAATTTAGCAACAGTCTGAATATGCTTCTTACAGTTTTGGAAATATAACTCGAAAATTTTGTTCCATATTAATTAAATTTCTTAGTGCTCACAAACATACCGAACATTACAAATATCTTCGCCCATGTTTTATAAAAAATGTTTTCACTTTTATTATTATTATTCTAGTTGTTGTTGTTATCATTATTATTATTATTATCATCATTATTATTATGTACGATTTTGAAGGCAAAAACACCAGAGAAAAATGAATAAATGTAATAAACTCAAAATTTTGCTGCAGAAAATTGGAGAACTGGACACGACTGCTCAATGGAAGCTAGAAATTCTCAGACGTTCTATCCCCTCTCAAATAACATTTGAATTACGAACCTATGATATGTCGCTGACCTGGATAGAATGCACTCTGGACCACCTTATAATAGAGGCAGTAAGGGAATGGCTGTCTCTGCCCATAAGCAGCTGCATCGCTGAAGTTATCTCGATGCCGTATAAAACTGGGGGCCTCAACATCAAATCGCTGAAACACCACGCCGAGTTATTAAGATTAAAACTCTGTGTGTATCTCAAGCTAAACGCCAGCGAGGAAATAAGACTGCTGTGGAATGAATCTCATAACTCCTACAGAAAGATTGACGACCTCATTCCAAAAAATGATGGAATAAAATCAGCAATAAATGCCCTACAACAACAACAATATGAAACGAATTTCAATCATCTATTGCTGTTGCGATGCCAAGGTGCTCTTGTGAGGTCAATAAAAGAGCATATCAATAGTTCCGAGATAACACGATGGTCCAGGTCAACTGCGAAACTATGATGGAATAAAATCAGCAATAAATGCCCTACAACAACAACAATATGAAACGAATTTCAATCATCTATTGCTGTTGCGATGCCAAGGTGCTCTTGTGAGGTCAATAAAAGAGCATATCAATAGTTCCGAGATAACACGATGGTCCAGGTCAACTGCGAAACTATCAGAGGTCCTCTATAAATTCACCAGAAAATATCTTATTCAACAGCTACCTACTAATGCTAACCTCTTCAGGTGGAGTAAATCTACTAAAGCATCATGTTTGCTTTGTAATGCAGTACAAACAAACAAACATGTCCTATCAAATTGTGGCTCCGCCTCTGCACTGAGCAGATATTTAAACCGCCACAACAAAATTCTCACAATAATTATTGATAACATAAAAGCAAATGCAAGGCCGGGTATCGAAATATTGACGTGGAAAAAGAATTGGTGCGTCCAGTAACGGATCTGTTCAAATCACTCCGACCCGACATCGCAGTCTGTAACAAAGATACTATTGAAATACTCGAACTGACCGTGTGCCATGAAACAAACTTTATGAAATCAAAACAATATAAAATGAATAAATACTTAATTTAAAAAATAACTTGTAGATGATTTTAAACATTTCAATATTTTAATTAAAACTTTTGAAATATCGCCTATAGGTTTTTATAATCCTTTTATTCTGTCTTTAATCGATATAAATTGGACTGATAATTTTCGATATAACTTAATCAATAGTGTAATATCGTCATCTTATGCTTTGTACTGCGATGGAAACAATGCGTGGACAAACTGTTTCCAATTTTTATACAAGCTATCGTCATGGCACATATTTCAGGATAACGAGCGTTGATGACTATTCATATTATTTTATTATTTTAATAAAATTTAACTAATTTTAAAATTTTATTGACATATTTTATTTTGATTATTTTTGATTTTACTGGTTTTCTCTGAATAATAAAAGAGTTTACATTATCATTAATATTATTATTGGCATAACATAACAGAAATATTTTTGGCCAATAAGCTGGCTAGTATTTGAAGATTCTTTTCACAAATTTCATCGAATGTCAAAGAAGGAATTTAAAGAGAGAGAGAGAGAGCGAAAACAACGGCGAACGTAACAGCACACATCGTATTAGCTGATAAGGAAGTGCTTGCTAGCCAGCAGAACAGCCAGCGAACAATGAATGACGGCAACGAAAGTTTTCTAAAATGGTGCACAGCATAATTCTAATTCAACCTCGAGTAAACAAATGCGTGAATTCACGCGGCTGCCTGGCGAACAATGCAGGCTGTCAAGAAGCAGCGAGATAACTTCCTGTTAGGAGCTAATTAACTTCATATTGGTACTTTTTCAATAAAATCCTGAAAATATCACTCATGAAAAAAGTTCCCCCAAGCCAACCTGCAGTGAACCACGAGGGGGCTTGATCCCCGCACTGAGAAACAGCCCCTGACCATTCGGATGTAGTTGATGATGGACTGGCTCTCCTCCGGGGTTTTCATATCCGGCCAGGAGGTGTAGAAACAATGTTTCACCAGGCGGCACTCCTGCCCCTACAAAGTGGATGGATGTCAATTTGTCAGTTGTCTGTTAATGTGTATCAATGTATATATTTAATGTTTGTAGATTTGCTTGCGTTTGTGTGTGTGTGCGCGCCCTTGTGTGTGCGTGTGTTGTGTGTGTGTGTTGTGTGTGTGTCAGCGAATTTTTGTAGGTGCAAAGTCTTTTTCGTTCCACTACATTGATTCAAAGTTGGGATAAACCTGCCATTCTGCCTCCTTTTAAATATTCTTATAAAAAAACCTGCACCTGTTGATATTTTTGCGTATCGTTCGCTTAAAAGTCAATTTAGTATATTTGTTGATTTTTTTCAATTTGCACCAAAAACCAAAAATATCGAGAAAGTTGAAGGATTAGCTAAATAAACTTCCCACACATTTGAACATACAATTAACGAAGAAGATAATAAAACGATTTTCGCCTCTTAAGCACATTTTGGCCACAGCCCTTTCGAAATTATGTGCCACTGAATGTATTATAATATGATGAAAACATGTACGCTGTAGATATTCACATAAATTATGATAATTTATGAATATATGTCAATGCAAAGCGATGCGGTTTTAAGGCATAGTTCATGTTAATCAGAGCGATTTATAGGCGAATTAGTAACAAGGACGTCAAAAAGAAGCAACGAATTGTAGCGAGAATAACTAAATGAGAGATGGTACAACAAAAAATGTGTGTAAATGTATAATAATATGGTTTTGATATATAGCAGAGCGTACAATATCATACAACTCATGCTAGCTTAAGGACCATAACACCAACATCTATCTACTTATTCGCCATGAAGATTAACAATGATGATAGGAAATAATTACAGATGTACCTAAAAAAAGTTGATAGAAAATAAACGATTAGCAATAAAATGCTGATCACACAACACAACCAGACAGACAACCAACCACGCAGACAGACAACCAGACAGACAACCAGACAGACAACCAGACAGACAACCAGACAGACAACCAGACAGACAACCAACCACACCGACAACCAGCCACCACCACAACAACTACAACACCACATACCAGCACAACACACCACACAACTGACCAATGAAACACTCATCTCCCGGACGACCCAGTGTTCGGTGGTTACGACACTGGCCACTTTCACAGCGATGTCGCCGTACAGCACGACTTCATCGTCGCTTGGCCAATATTGGCAACATTTTATCTTCATAAAAATAAATGTTGTCATAATAAGATTAACTAATCATAAATGTAAAAAATTGCGCTTCATCGAAAGTGATGGAAATTTCTCAAGAAAGTGCGTTTCAAGACGAAAGATACATTCGGGACGGTAGAAGCAAGGAAGGACTGGCAACATTTGTTAGTGCTATCTGCTATTCATCATTATTCTACACCCTCCAGTTACAAACACTCGTCCGTTTAAACAAACTGCTGAGTCGAAGAAATACAAAACAAGATTGGAAAGTGTCGGAGTAGCCAGGCTTCTGGTGGAAGTGCCATGCTTAGTGCTGTTCTCATCTTGAGTATTCTGGCAGAACTTATAAACTATTGTAAGCTTGGTGCTCATATAATTACATGCAGGGTGCGTGGATGCAGTTGTCATGGTTCTTAATCAGTGATGAATAACTTTTAGATACAATTCCGCGTTAAAACCGCATTTTAAAGAAGAAAAGTATCACTAATACTAGAGCTACTACTACTACTACTACTACTACTACAACCAACCAACTACTACTACTACTACTACTACTACTACTACAACCAACCAACTATTACTACTACTACTACTACTACAACCAACCAACATACTACTACTACTACTACAACCAACCAACTACTACTACTACTACTACAACCAACCAACTATTACTACTACTACTATACTACTACTACTACTACTACTACTACTACCAACTACTATTACAGTCCAGTCAAACATTTGAAAGAACCAATAGTAGCAAGCAGCAAACCTTGCCCTCCTCAACCAGTCTGGTAATCATGACAATGGCCTTGACATTGTACTCCCAGATCATGCGCCAGAAGTCGTCTAGGGTGCTGTCCAGGGGTCCCTGAGTGGCTATGTACTGACGGCGTGAGAAATAGCCCTGGAAGGTTGGTGTTTGTCTCCGTCGTCATCATCATCATCACATCATCATCGTCATCATCACGATCACTATAATCAGAGTTGTTATAATTAACGTAATCACAATCGTCACCTTCATTATCGTCGTCGTTATCTTTATCATAACCAACATTATCATCATAACCACCACCACATCATCATCATTATCGTCACAACTACTTCATCACCACCCCAAACTACCATCCTCCTCCTCTTCCTCATCATCATCATCATCGCCACCCTCCTCATCATCATCTTCATAATCATCATCATGACATACAGGTATCCAGCTGGCGTTGATGTAGTCGGAATTGTCACCTGAACAGGCGCTGATCTTCACTCGCGAGATGTCGTAAGGTCGAATGTTGCTGTATCTGATGTGATGATGACGATGATGATGTGACGATGATGATGTGATGATAACGATGTTGATGATGGTGATATGTGACGATGATGATGCTATGTGATGATAATGATGTGATGATGACGATGATAATGATGATGACGTTATGTAATGATGACGATGTGATGTGATTATGGCGATGATGGGATGTGCTGATGATGCAATATGATGTGACGATGATGATGTGATGATGAATGTAATAGTAATAGTATTAGTAGCACAAGCCTTAGTAGAAGTAATTACTTTAGTAACAGTACAACAATAGTTTTGATAGAAAATCAGCAGTAGTAGTAGCAGCACCAGTAGTAGCACCAGTAGTAGTAATAGTAATTAAAGCAATAGTAGTAGCAGTAACCGAAATTAAAGTATTAGTAATAGCATTTTAACAATAGTTTTGGTAGTACTAGCAGCAGCTGCAGTAGACTTGCTACTGACCTATTTTTGAGGACGTTGACCTCTTCCCCGGCAACGTCTTTGCTCTGATTGCGACCAACGTTCTTCAGCGACTGCTCAGAGTTCAGTGAAAAATTTTTTATAATAAAATTATCCCTTTAATCGGACAGTTAATTTAATAATTAATTAATCAATTAATTTGGTTAATTAATTGATTTATTTGTAAATGGCTGATGGCAATTATTCAAATGTGAGTTAAATACGTAATAGTTAATAGGTTATTAACTGATGAAGAATAAGGGAAAATTCAAGTGAACATGACGATCCTTCTTTATTCACTCACCTATCATCCAAGCCCATCAAACAAAAACATTTAATTTATTTCATAATTAGTCAATCCTCAACTTCCTCATCAGCCCACTCATTCACTCCCTTAATAAATTAATCTATAAATCAATTAACCAATCAATTAATCTATAAATCAATCCACTAATTAAGCAACCAATGAACCAACCAATTAATTAGTCAACCAACCATTCAATCAATCAATCAATCAACCAACCAATCGATCAACCAATCAATTGACCTCAAATTCCTCGGCAAAGAGCAGCTGACTGTTAGCCTGCATCTGGTTGTAGATGTCATCAAACTTTGCTATGGTTATCGGCCGGCTGTTTTTGGCAATTTAGTAATAATAATAATAATAATAATAATAATACAACACACGTTTAGACGACATTTTCCCCGAGATCGGGGGTTGCCGTTTGGCTACCTATGATGAAACCGAAATACTCCTCGACGCCATTCCATCATAAGTAATTTATTTGGCTAATTTTTACGCAGGACGCCCTTCCTTACGCAACCACAGTTATAAGCGGTGGGCCTAGCCTTTGATGATCCAACAACACTCACAAGGCAGTGAGGGTCAGTTTAATGTCATAACCAGGACAAAATAAGAATAATAATTAATAATAATAATATTGTAATTATTATTATTATTAAATAACATTAGTACAATCATCATTACCTACTTCTCAGTTAACACTTTAACAATAATAAAAAAATACAAATAATTAAAAGATTTTCTTTATGATCATAATAATTATCATTATTTTGATCCTAATTATTATTATTATTATGATCCTAATTATTCATAAATATAGTATCATCATCATAATCGCCATCGTCATCATAATGGCATCACCATCTTCACTTTTCTCAACCATCACCACCATCATTATTAACCATCATAATCTTAATCATTACACACACACGCACACACACACACACACATCAGACACAAACACACACGCACATACATATACACACATCAGACACAAACACACACATATATCAGACACACACACACACACACAACACACACGCGCGCACACACATGCAAACATCTTAGCGATTATATTCATTATTAAAAAACTGACGTTTTTAACGGAGCCTCATCAAACGAACAGGATGTAACATACATAACTATTATTACTACTGCTACTACTACTACTAATACTACTACTACTAATAATACCACTACTACTACTACTGCTACTACTGCTACTACTACTGCTGCTGCTGCTAATTAATTACGCCGTCCAACGGATGAAGAAATGAAATAATAATAATACATCATCCGAATGCCGATGTTGATCGATTGTATTTTGGCAAAAATGAAGGAGGTAGAGGACTAATAGGAATCGAAGACTCTTTTGAAAAGGCAATTATAAACACCTCAACAAGTACATTCTCAAGAAACAAGACAGACTAGTTAAAATAATTGCAAAAGATGATGAAAATATGAAAAAATATTCAATTTCTAAAAAAGTAGGAATATTAAAAAATCGTCATTCCATAGATAAAGATGTCAGCAAACGAGAATTTAAAGAACGTCTGGAAGATTATCATGTAAAAAAGTACAAAGATAAACAACTACATGGCCAATTTTTCAACAATATAGATAAATCAGGAATAGATTTGAAAAAAAAACATGGCAATGGTTAAGCAGCTCAGGACTTAAGGTCGAAACCGAAAGTCTGCTAATTGCTGCACATTAAACACGAAATACTTTCAAAAAAGAATACTCAAACAAAATGTTGATGGTCTCTGTAGAAAGTGTCACAAACATGTTAAAAGCATTAGCCATGTCATATCTGGATGTACTGTATTAGCACCAACTGAATACACCGAAAAACACAATCGAGTTGCAAGCTATATCCACTGGTGATATGTAGACAAGTTGGATAAGAGACATGTGTAGAATATTATAAACATGAACCGAAGAATATAAACAAACTATGTCAATGGTCAAATTTTATGGGACACGCCAGTTATAACAGATAGAAGCAAACAGACCAAATATCATTGCCCAAGATAAAAACTAAAAAATATGCCTATTGATAGATATATCTGCTCCAGACAATTTACATATTTTGCAGAAAGAGACCGAAAAGATATGCAAGTACAAAAACCTTCAAATCGAGATACGAAGAATGTGGAACTTGAAAGCAAAAGTTAATACAATTGTAGTGGGAGCACTAGGAGTAGTCTCTAAAAATTTAGAAAAAAACTTTAAAAAAATTTCGGCAAAACCAGCTTTGACCGAAGTTAAAAAAAACAGCATTATTAGGAACAGCGAGCATAATAAGAAAAGTCCTCGGATGAATCTCTTTAGGATCTAGTTGAACCCCGGATTCGTTAATGACCAGCTTTAAAAACCAAACTGTGAAAACTGGGATAATAATAATAATAATAATAATAATAATAATAATGATAATAATAATAATAGTAATAATAATAATAATGAAAGCTCAAGATGTTATAAATATAAATCAGTATATTTTTTTGGATTGCAGATAATGCTAGTAGAAAATGTTCCCACCACCACCATCATCATCATCACCACCACCACTATAATATAATCATTATCATCATCATCATCATCACCACTGACATAATCCTCCTGATCATCATCACCATCACAATTATTATATAGCAGTCATCTAAAGCACCTTTATTATCACCATCATCATCAACATCATCGTCGTTACCATCATCATCGTCACTATCACAGCATCATTGTTACCATCATCATCGTCATCGTCACCATCACAACATCACTGTCATTATCATCATCATCATCATCTTCATTATCGAAATAAACACCATAGCACTTATCTCTCTCATAATCCTTCACAGTACCATTACTATCATCATCATCATCATTGTCATCGTCACCATCGAATATGAAGAATAAAAACAAACCTTGACTGAATTTTTGAAGAACCAGGTTTCTGTTTAATTAATTAATTCATTAAAATAATGGTTAATAAATAAACAAACTGATGATGATTACGACGACGATGATGATAATGATTTTCATCATGTAATTATTAATGACAAACTTAAACATTTGTTGTAATTATAAAATTCAGTAAAATCATATAAACAAAATCTAAAAAAGAAAACATTATAGAACATAGAGATGAAGATAAAACAATCTCTCTCTCTCACTCTCTCTCTACATATATATATATATATATATATATATATATATATATATATATATATATTGGATTAAGACTGTCAGAAATGCAATTATTGATAAAAATCAAAGCGTTTTCGGCGTAAGTTAACTTCCAATTTAACTTTTTGATTTTTTAACGGTTATATATTTATATATGTTGATTATAGATTGATATATATATATATATATATATATATATATATATATATATATGCATGATCATGTGATGAGATTATTACAATGACTAAGACTTTATTATCGGTGATGACAACCTTAAGTCATCATCATAATGATGGTGACGTTAGCAGATGGTGCTACTAAAGTGAGTACAACATTAAAACGTTTGACGATGATGACTTTGAATGTTTTTTATGATAATTTGAGTGATGATGAATAAAACATGTAGTAGTAGTAGTAGTAGTAGTAGTAGAAGTGTTATTAGAAGTAGTAGTAGTAGTAGTTGTAGTAGAAGTGTTATTAGAAGTAGTAGTAGTAGTAGTTGTAGTAGAAGTGTTATTAGAAGTAGTAGTAGTAGTAGTAGTGGTAGTAGTAGTAGTAGTAAACGTAGAAGTTGTAGTATTAGTAGCGATAGTAGCAGCAGCAGCAGTAGTTGTAGTAATGGCAGTCATCTATGACGTTATTAATACGATAACACAAGTGACGATAAACAAGACATATTAATATTGGCTGTGAAGAACTTAGGTATATATGTAATGAAAACATTACAAATGATATCACTACTACAACTTCTGACGTTATTACTGCTGCTACTACTTCTACCTCTACTACTACTACTACTACCACTACTTATTGTACTAATACTACAACAGCCACAACAAAAACAACAACTACTACTGCTGCTGCTACTACTACTACTGCTACTACAATAATACTACAATAACAACAACTTCTACTACTAATTCTACTAATACTCCTACTACATTAACAACAACACCAACAATAATTACTACAGTAACAGCAATAACAACAACAACTACTATTACTAAAACTAGTACTACTACTATTACAACTACTGCTACTACTACTACTATTACAACTACTAATACTACAACTTACTACTACCTACTACTATTACTACTATTACTCTATTACTACTACTACTACTACTACTACTACTACTATTACAACTACTACTATTACAACTCCTACTATCACAACTACTACTATCACAACTACTACTATCACGGTTAAGATTAATATTATTAATTATAATTAATCATAATTAATAATATTATTACAAAAAATGTAAAAAATATGACAACACTCACCTCATCTAGGGGACATTTTAGTGAAGTTTTCCTAACGATGACGACGACGGCGATGATGATGACGACAGCGGTGACAGCAGCCACCACACCGACAATGATTCCGATATGATTTGCAGGCTCTTTTGAAATTGTTTTGGTGTTGTTGTTTTGTTGTTTGTATTGGTGGTTTTTTTTTATTATTTCTGTTGATGTTGTGTGGTTGGTGTTGTTGAAGGTGCTTGTTGCTGTTGTTGCTTGTTGCTTGTGTAGTTGTTGATGTTGATCGTGTTGATGATTGTGTTGTTGATTGTGTTGTTGTTTGTGTTGATTGTGTAGTTGTTGTTGTTGATCGTGTTGGTGATTGTGTTGATGTAGTTGCTGATTGTGTAGTTTGTGTTGTTGGTTGTGTTGTTGGTTGTATAGTTGTTGTTGATTGTGATGTTGTTGTTGATTGTGCAGTTGTTGTGTTGATTGTGTCGTTTTTGTTGTATTTTATGTTGTTGCTTGTGGGAATTTTGGGACTCATTCACTCAACATTACCATATTCCAGGATTAATATTGTTACAAGCATCATCAATAGTGCAAGTAAAATAGTTACAATTATAAGGTCAATATAATAATTATTAATAATAAAATGAATTATCCAAAAAGAATAATAATAATTAATGATAAAAATAAAAATAGCTACAATAAAATAAAAAATGTCATCATTATTTATCAGCAAGAATAACATTGTTTCTCAAGTATGCCACATGTCAACTGCATGCAGTTATCTGAAGTTAAATCACGCTCCCACAGACAAACTAGAACAAGTTTAGAAATATAACATCCCACAGACACACACACACACAAACACACACACACACAAGACAAAACGCACAACACACTCACACATACAGACATAAACATAGATATTTGAAAAGTACACATACAAAAACAAAAACGAACCAACACACATTGCATACACGCACATACACATACAATCACACACATTTATATCTTATATGCTTATACGCACACATACTAGTACAACTGACAATCTAGTTTCAATGAGTTCAACAATAAATTTTATGAACCAAACACGAAGAATATTCAGTCAGTCATACAAATATAAGAGGAGTAAACCATCGTATCATACATGAAGTGTGTAATTGAAACTGAAATTTAAACAATTACACATCAGATACAATCAGTAAGTACATCAATACGTGCATTCATCATTGCAGTTACTTCAAACATCGTCGTTCCCATCATCAGTGGCCATCATGAAGGTATAAGTAACACATATACATCATGAGAACATTGGAATCTTCATGAGAACATTGAACAACAGCACCACCAACAACTTCACCATCACCAAACAACGTCAACAACATCACAAACAACCACACAATGCGATGGTATAATGGCGAAGGTTAGGATTAGTGACAGTGACTGCATTAGAATGGAATGCGAAGATGCAAAGACAACAACGTTCAATCTGTGTGATGCGCTGATTCGCGCGTAATTATTTGCAAGCATTGTTGTTGTTGTTGCTGCTGCTGCTGCGGAAACCTCTGAGAAATATTGGACATAGAATTGTAAGAACAATTAAACAACAACAAAAACTTTAACAACTTTAACAACAACAAAAACTTTAACAACAACAACAACGTTTGCAACAAGCAAAAACATGAACTTCAATAACAACAAAAACATCAACAATATATATTTTAAATCAGAGAAAAAACATTTTTATTTAAGAAACAATTATTCTTATAAAAATCGAGAAATGAGAAAGTTAAGTTGGAGTGTAGGAAGGAAGTTGCACCGATTCGTACGTACTGGACAAACATTCGCTAAAATTTAGTATTCAGTTTCGGCCTTTTTGCGGACCAAACAGCCGAATGTTGCTATAAGCCTCTATTATTTTTCGATTTCCTAACAAAAATTGCTTATTAATATTATTGTCGGGAAATTTACTTTGGCAATCACGAGCGTTAAAGAATTAGAAACTGAACAAGAGGGTGGAGGATGTTACTTCAACGAGGGATTGCCTAGAAATGAATAATTTTTCAGTAGCTCGTGCTTTTATGATAAAAAATTAATTTTCTTTGAACTGTTTATCTTTTTTGGCTAACGGTGATAATTATGAATTGATGGTGATGGTGATGTTAATAAACCGAACGCACTAATGACGATGGCGGTAAATAAATACTGACGAAACAGATGACGAAAATTATGATAATGAGTATGTGAAATGATGATGATGTATATGAGACTAAGATGATGATGACAATGACGTTGGGGATATCTCAGTCGATGAATATTATTTATATATTTATTTATTTATTTATTTAATTATTCGTTTATTATGAACAAACAATAAATTTGTTACATAATGGGGCATTCCAAGAGTAAATCTTAACTAAACGGAATCCCCTGATGATGGTTGATAAATAATGACAAAGATGTTTAATTTCATAATTACACGTACACATGACGTCGCTTAATATTTATTTTTTTTACAAAAAAAAAAAATTCTCCCGATGTTCATCTTCCTCACAAAGATTGACAAGTGCTGGCACATTAATTAGGTGTAATAATAAATCATAATATATTTAATAATAATAAAATAATAATAATAATAATTATTATTATTATTATTATATTTAAATTAATAGGATTTTATAATTATTTTATTATTGATATTTGGTATTTTTTGTTAGAAAATAAAAGGCGTTATCATTAAAAAAAATTACAATTATAGAGAATAATAATTCCTATGAATAAGGTAAATCATAAAAAATGTAAATAATACATATAAAATAAATAATATTAAAATAAAGTAAATGATATATAAATAATAATAGTAATAATAATAATAACAATAACAACAATAATAATAATAATGAATCACGTTTCAAACTTCCTACCTACCTGGCGGTCGTGCTTCTGTTAAGGGTGACGTAATCGGTGACGTTGTTGTTGGTGATGATGATGTTGGTGGTGGTGATGAT